TCCTTATGAAGCGCAGCATTGCACTGGCTTCTTTAAGCAGCCCTGTGGGCGAGAAATGACTGATGACGACTCTCAGGTTCCTTCCTGTAATACACACCATTCACTATGTCATCATAAAGATTGTTTTTTTCTACAAACAACTTACTGAAGTTCATCTATCAATTTCCTTCTTTATTCACAGTAAAAATTCCCCAAGACTGATCGCCAGCATTTTGGCATTTTACTACTATAAGGAACATATCATGGGCAGGCACGATAGCTCACACCGGTCACCCTAGCACTTTAGATGGCTGAGGCAAGAGAATCGCTTGAGGCCAGGAGTTCCATACCAGTCTGGGCAACATAGCAAGACCACAACTCTACAAAAAATTAAAAACTTAGCCAGGCATGTATATACTTATAGTCCCAATTACTCAGGAGGCTGAGCCTGGTTGTCAGAGTGAGACTCCATCTCTTTAAATTAAAAAAAAATCCTATCTGGAGATTTTAGCATGCGCCTCTTCCTAAAATTTATAGACAACTGTAGTTTATAGACAATTATTAATAGATGTCCTACTATTTCACAACTTATCTCAGTCCCGATCCTTTGAAGAACACATTGGGAATACTTCTCCATGGAAGTCATTGTCCATTTACTCCAATTATTTGGACTCCTGAAAACATGTTTTACCATTTTCTTTAGTAACCAGTGCTGCTGAATCTCATCAAAATTGCCTGAACACCTAGCTACTACGTCCTTCGTCTCTTTATTCATAGTCTCGCAGGACTCCGGTGATACAACCAAACTTTCAGAACACTTCTCAGTAGATAAACTCAGTAGGTAAGAACAGAATCAGCGAGGGACGGGAGGCATGAGTGCACAGCACACCTGGGGAAATGCAAGATGGTGGACACGGCGTGAGGCCAAGAATGAGGCTGGTGGGCAGGGAAGCTGACCATCGGACCAACTGTGGATCACAAAAGCCACCCTTTATGGAGCATTTGTTGTGTGGCAGGTACAGCACTAATGCTCTATAAACATTTCCTTGAATCTATTTTTTTTTTTTTTTTTGAGTTGGAGTCTCACTCTGTCGCCCAGCGGCCACCGCAGCCTCGACCTGCTGGGCTCCGGCGAACCTTCCGCCTCAGCCTTCCAAGTAGCCGGAATTACAGGCGTGCACTACCACGCCCAGCTAGTTTTTGATTTATTGTAGAGATGAGGTCTCGCCAAGTTGCCCAGGCGGGTTTCGAACCCGCGGGCTCAGGCAATCCACTCACCTCAGCCTCCCAAAGCGCGGGATTACAGCCTGAGCCACGCAGCCCAGCTGAATCTTTTCGTCAATGAAGTTTACAAGGTTCCCTGTACTCTAACCAACAGATTCCGTGTTCCCAGTTCTCTCGAGTAGGGCAGCTTGCCTCCAGCTGGAGTAACTGTGCTAGGAACCCGGTCTTCCACACACGCCCCGTCTCTACTCTGTGAAGCAGAGGGTGGTGTGTCAGCCCAGCTCCTGTACCCTCCTTCCTTCGGCAAAAGCCTCTATCCCTCTGGCCAGAGGTGAACAGAGCCCAGACTGAGGCAATCACAGCAATGCATCTCCCACCAGGGTTTTCTGTGTTGAAGCCAGAGAGGAAATACTCTTCCTGCCTCTCCAGAATGTGAGCCAGGAGCTGCTATATCCTCACCATGGAGAGAAAAGCTGACGTGCAGAAAGAGGCAGGAAGGACATCGCTGAGCAACTGACCCAAAAGGGTATCTGTCTCCTGTGCCCCTCTCTGTTTTTTCCTTAAGCAGCTTGAGTTCGATTTGTCGCTTGCAATCCAAGTGTATCTCAGGGGCTAAAGTGAATTTTGTAGAGTCTTCGATGAAAAGCTGGCTCTTCCATAGTAAGATTCTAAGTGCGGCACTAAAGCAAATCAGGCCCCAGCTCCCTCCCTGGTAAACAGGGAGATGGTGTGAATGGATGGAATGAAATTATGAACACAAAGCGTTTAGGATGTAGATGTTCTCAGGGCAAGAGAGGAAGAGCAAGTAGACTGACAAGAAGCCCCTTCATTGCCAAGGCTCTGTCCTTCCATCCCCATGAAGCCTGTAATTTACTTTAAAATATCTCAACAAAGAAAAATAGATAAAAAGGACAGAGCAAACAAATATGACAGTCGTGGTAACTGTTGGACAGATAAGAATTCATCTACTAGTCTCTCGACCTTTAAAATTTTCACTAACTTTTTTAAAAGAAAGATCTGTTGAGATTACCCTGTAGTTTCTCTTTTAGGTCCAACCAATGTGGTGAACTGTATTGATCCTCAAGTGTTGAGCCCAACTTGAGTTCCTGGAGTGAACCCAGCTTGACCATGAAGTGTTGCGCCTTTGAGGAATAACTGAACTCGGCTCGCTAGTGTTTTGCTTGGGACTCTTTTGAGGCAGTCCACCTGTGGTATTTCTCTCACCCGAGCCAGGCTTTGGTGATGGGGTTGTGTTGACCTCAAGGGATGAGTTAGATGGTGCAGTATTTGCCCTCTTATTTCTACTCTCTGGAGAAATTTGTGTGGGATTGGTGCTGTTTCTTTTTTTCTTTTTAAGCAACAGCTCCATTGGCAGCTTGTGTGTCATTCTTAAATATTCTGACCTGAGTAGTGATCACACTTTACTTTTAAATTATTGATGTTAGTCATTACTTATATACTTTTTTGGTATATTAGAAATAACTGTTAATTAAGACATTTTTTAGGAAATAAGGTAGGGTAAAAAAAAACCCTCTTTTTACTTAGAAAATGTGTCACTTTTCTTTTATCGGAAAATATCGTTTATTTAGAAAGTAAATTAGAGAGAAGAGAAGAGAAGAGGAGGAGAGGAGAGGAGATTCACCTCCCCAAGGTAGGGTAGGGGACCAAAACTACGAAACATGGCAGAGATAGCTCAAAGAGCCAGTGCTTAACAAAACGATAGCCAGAAAATGTGTCCCTTTCTTCAGCTGAGGGCAATGTAATCATTTCGCTCTAATGACTAGTCACAGAGCCTCACCCCTGGCCTGGATGTCAATCTTTTGTACAAACTCTTGTCATTACCATCACCACCACTGATGCCTCTCTGGCAGGACTACTTGCCAGGCACTGTGTTGGGTGCATCCCAAGTCATTTCCTTTCATCGTCATCATAAGCCTGTGTGGTAGCTACCAATATGGCCTCCCACATTTCAGAAGAGAAGCTGAAACACAGCATGCGGTGGCCAGGATCCAGCACTCGAACCCCAGTCATCTGACTACAGAGAGCGCACCCATCTCCCACATGTGCCACTGTCACAGGGAGGCAGCACGGCCTGTGGGGATGGGAGACAACTGCGCTCCAGCCCCACCTCTGCCTCGAACTGGCTGTAAGACCTGAAGCAAGTCAGGTAATCCTCCCGGCCTCGGTGTCCTTGCTGAGAAAAAGCCAGGCAGGGTCCAGACGGTTGTCTTGAAACTGCCTGCAAGGGCTGGGAGTCTGGAGGCAGCACCTGGAGGTCAGGCAGGAAGAACACTTTTCCTTCTGTATGACAGATTGCTGTGATTTGAAAGTTTGTGTCCTCTCCAAAGCTCATGTTGAAAATTAACTGCCAATGTGTAAAGAGATGTACAAAGAGTTGGGGTTTTCAAGGGTGATTAAGTCATGAGGGTAGAGCCCTTGTGAATTCAATTAGATGCCCTTATAAAAGGGTTTGACAGCTGGGCACAGCAGCTCATGCTTTAATCCCAACACTTTGGAAGGCTGAGGCAGGAGGACTGCCCGAGCCCAGGCAACATGGCGAGACCTTGTCTCTACAATAAATAAAAAAATTAGTCAGGCATGGTGGTGCATGCCTGCAGTTTCAGCTACTTGGAAGGCTGAGGTAGAAGGATCGCCTGAGCCCAGCAAGTCAAGGCTGTGGTAGCCGTAAGCATGCCACTGCACTCCAGGCTGGGTGACAGAATGAGATTCCTCCCCCTTCTCCCCCTAAAAAAAGGGCAGAGGAAGGTTGTGCCTTCTGTCCATCCACCTTCTGCCACGTGAGGACATTCAAGGTACTATCTTAAAAGCAGACGGTAGCCGTCACCAGATAACCAAACCTGTTGGAGCCTTCATCTTGGATTCAGTCTCCAGAACTGTGCAAAACAAATTTATGTTCTTTATAAACTACCAGCCTTGAGTATTTTGTTATAGCAGCACAAACAAACTAAGATATACATTGACCTTCTAGGATTTCATTTGAACTCCTAGAATGGGTCCAAGGCTTTAAAAAATTGTGAAGAGGCCGGGCTCGGTGGCTCAGCCTGTAATCCGAGCACTTTGGAAAGCCGAGGTGAGTGGATTGCCTGAGCCCGCGGGTTCGAGACCCGCCTGGGCAACATGGTGAGACCTCATCTCTACAATAAATTAAAAAAATCAGCCCAGCATGGTAGCGCATGCCTGTAATTCCAGCTACTCGGAAGGCTGAGGCGGAAGGACCGCCGGAGCCCAGCAGGTCGAGGCTGCGGTGGCCGAGAGCAGCCACTGCACTCCAGTCTGGCTGACAGAGTGAGACTCCAACTCAGGAAAAAAAAAAAAAAAACCAAAAAAACTGTGAAGATCATTTGACTACTCGACTTCTGAGGTTCCTTTGTCCAAATGATTCTACTGAATCATTAGATGTATGATCCCATGAATATTCTATGATTCTCTTACCCATATAATTATTAAGCTCCTAATTAGGTGTGGACTATATTAATCTAACCACAAAAATATCCATTATATCCAAATGTTCACTGCTCTGTAACTTTTCTATAGTAGAATAAATTATCTACTCTTACAATGACACCCAGATACCTCCCTGAATTTATCATATATAATCTGTTTAGAACCTATCCCATCCCCCCCAAAGCAACATTCCCCTGTATGCTATCCTCTCCTTCCACTACTTTATACTTCAGTAATATTCCACAAACACCTGCGATACTGCGTAGGCACTCAAGCGACTGCTGAATCCGGGTAGTGGTAAACTCAACCCTCAAACATTTAACAAAGCATCAGACAAAATGTAACTTTTTATGAGAATTCAGTTTTTGAAATACATAACTCTTACAGCACACAGTATTTACATTTCAAGTTCTTTTTATAAAAGATGTGTACCATTTTGAAAGAATACTGTTGAGATCATGATCTTAAAATACCTGTCAGGGTTCAAAAAGGACTCATGGAATCTGGTCTCCACAAATCCACTGTATAATGACATAAACAAAATATGGCTGGATGTCAGGGTTGACTCATACATAAAAATACTCATTCTCAGTTTGACCAGCAAACAATGGCCTATGGATCAAACTGGTTGATGGCCTGTTTCTGTACAGTTGCAAGCTAAACACGGTTTTTACATTTTTTTAGAGGGTTGTTTTTAAAAACAAAACTAAACAACAACAACAAAGAAAAGGTGACAGAGACACAAATGATCTGCAATTATTTACTATCTGGCCTTTCACAGAGAAAATCTGCCAGCCTCTGCTCTCTCCAAAACCAATAGAGATAGCTACTAGAACATACTGATGACATTAGCACTACTCATTTCTAAAATGAGGCACTTCTGTTTGAATATGTACATTTCCAAAACATAATTACATCTGGTAAGTAGCACTGCTACATAACGCTAGCCCTTTGGAATTAGGCCTGCATATGAAATCATAGTATTCTTAGGGGCTGAAGTAAACAAGCGCAAAGTATTTCAGATGTCAGTCATCAAGCTCTTCAGTAGTTATAAGTAGTTAATAAGACCACTTGCAGTCTTCAACATTAACAAAATCCATACCTCAGATATTGCCAATAGAAGGTCATACTGCTGCACAATTTAAATAACAACTATAAAAATATGTTTAGACATTTCGCTTCATCATGTTCAAAAGCAAGAATACAACTAGTTAACTTAGTAACTACTTATCTTAAAAAAGAGAAATGGGGAGGAAAAAGCGTCAAACTATAGCAAAAGTTTTAGAATGCAAAGTCCAGGGTCTCTCAGCATTGCTCCCAAGCTGTCCTGGGCTTCTTACATTACAGTTAGGCTGCAATGGCTGCCATCAGCACCTGTCTCTCATCAGCAAGGCTTTTCATAAAAAAGAGGACAGGTCCATCAGTAAATGCTTTAAAAGTAAATCAGCTCAGAACTGCTCCACACAGGTTTTCAGTGTGGTGGTCACATGATTCCTGGTCGGGGCCATGTTCAGCCACTTGGCAGCATGGTGCTAGGTGTTGTCCTCTTCTGTGCCACGCTGGCTGAGATCACGTCACAGAGACAGCTCTGTGATGCTGGGGAAAAAATGCTCAGGATATGCTGAGGTAGATGATTTTCCAGTGAAGATCTTCTATACCCCGATTCGATCAGGACTGGCTTCTTTGTGTACCCTCCTTCTGGGGAATATCTTCCGCTTAAGTGCAATTAACTACATTATGAAAGACAGAATATAAATTTTAATACTCATGTTGATGAAAGAGCGTAAGTGCACCAAACTTTCTGAGAGCCACATGACCTAATCACTTCCATAATCTCACACATTGAAAGCAGACAACAAACGAGTCTCCCATCATTCCTCCCCAAACAAATCACCCACTAATGCTTTTTAGCTTTCTAGGGTCAATATGCCTACACAGGTGCCCACAAAGAGGCCCAACTCACTAAAAGTATTTTGATACATGCTTCATTTTCTAAGATCTATGACTACAGATTTTTATACAGCTATTACCAAAGCATATTTATTTCCAAGATGTTCACTTGTCAAGTCTTTCTATTGAATGAAACTGGCTGTGTTTAGCCATCAGGACACTGTCTCTGGGTTTGAAAATGAAGACATTTGTAGGATAGGATTTTTAAGAACACATCTATATTGAAAATCCCAACAGCATTTTTCCTCTACTTCACCTAACCACAATCATTTGAAAACATGGGTAACACCCAATTTATGAAAGGGCTGCAATGCAAGTTCATTTGTAAATTAGTAGCTTAGAATTTGTATACTCTTCTTCTCAGAGAAACAGTCTGCCCGTGATACATCCAAAATAGAAGCCGAACCACCTTAGAACAAAATCTCAATTAGAATAACATGCTCTTTGTGGTTTCCATTTGGGTTCCCTGTGTTCGCCTGTCCTCCCTCTCCCCACTATGCTGGATCGGCTACTCCCTCACCTGGAGGCAGAAGCAGGGCTTTGCTCAAACACAAGCCACCATGGTTTGGAGTGGGGAGGGGAGGAAGAGGCAGTGCTGGCTGGTGTGTTTGTGAGGGTGGCAGGAGTGGCAAGAAGAAGGAGTTTGATGCGAAGAGACAGAGGGCAGCGTGCTGGAGAAGCAAGGGGCCTGAACCTCCTCCTCTCTTCAGCCTTCTCCCACCTCCCTCGTTCCCTGCTCTCTGCTGGCACAGACGACATGGAGAAAAGACTACTTCTCTGTTCCCTTCCACTGCCACCAGCTGCTCCATTCAGACAAGGTCCCTCTCTTTCCCCATGCCAGGCCAGCTTATAGAAAACTCAGATTTCCTCACTGAACCCCTGTTCTAAAAGCAGGCAGTCTTTTAAATATTTTTTTCTAAGATTTTGACCTGGCAGGAACCACAGCAACACATATCAAGAACCAGATGTATAATCCCCGGGAAGCAGATGAGAGTGAAGTTGCCGTCCTGCTCACCCCCCAGTCTCCACTTCCTGAATTTCCTTCCATTCACAGGGAAGCCCGCTGTTTATCCCAAAGCTCTCACAATTTACTGCCTTGTCCTTCTCAGTGTAAGTCAACTTGGTGTACATTTCCTCTGAGTGACAGCTACAATACGCTCACGCAGGTCACGTGGAACGAAGGCTGGGGCAGGGTAACTTTCCCCACACGAAGTCAGGTCAGCCTTTCCTTAGAAAATTTCACACCTGCAGCCTAACGAGGATCCTCTCATCCCTTTCTTCATACCCCACAGATCTCCCTCCTTCTCTGGACCCTCCCCTGAAGGAGGAGGCAGGCCCAGGGGCAGAGGCCTGAGATGGAAAGTGGAAGGAGGAAGAACTCCTAGCAATTCTAAGGACGCATAAGTGGGATTGCCAGTGTTGGCAGGACAACACAGAATCCAGGAGCATCTGAAGCGAGATACTGCGGCCGCTCTAGGAAGAGAAAGGAAAGGGAGAAATCTGGAGACTGTCAAAACATCAATATCCATTAAGGATTCTCGGTGGGTTTGGGCTATGACTATTTAGAGCTTTACAGTTTTAGCTTGAAGTCTGCAAATTCTATTGAGTTCCAGATAAAAAGAAGACTGACAATGGACTTAGAAGAGAAATGAATAAAATGCTGTTATATTCACTGTCTAAATATGATGAAATATATTTGACAAACTGGCATGTGAGCTATAAGCCAATAAGATAAATCAAAATGTTCTGTTTGTGGCTGGGCGTGGTGGCTCATGCTGGCAATCCCAGCACTTTGGGAGGCCAAGGTGAGAGGATTGCTTGAGTCCAAGAGTTCGAGACTAGCCTAGGCAACATAGTGAGACCTTGTCTCTACAAAATTTTTTTTTTTAATTTGCTGGGAGTGGTGGCACATGCCAATAGTCCCAGCTACTGGGAAGACTGAGATGGAGGAATCACCTGAGCCCAGGAGCAGGAGGTCGAGACTGTAATGAGCCGTGACTGTACTACTGCACTCCAGCCTGGGTGACAGAGTGAGACACTGACTCAAAAAAAAAAAAAATATGTTCTTGTAAATTTATATCATTTTCTAAGATTCAGATATTAATATAACAAGAAATACTGTTCAACACTCACATAAAATATATAAAACTTACCTGCTCAGCGAAAAACGAGAATATAGTAAACATAATTAACGTTGCCAGTACACAGTGGGTCCAGAACTTCAGTCTGTCCCGATACGCCCTCCTGTGTAGGGCAAGAAGAGAAAATGGATGTACCTCATATAGGATACCAGTCATTAGTGAGGCATTCTTCATACTAGTTTTACGAAAACGATGTGGAGGAACACTATCCAGAGGCAATGCTAAACTGTTTCCACAACATACATTTCCAACATTTGTTCATATTTTTATTATGTCATAGTAAATATTACACTTGAATTAGTAAGGTTATTCAGGCAGGGGAGAGGACCTCAAAAGAAAATTACTCGTTCATTTATTTTTATTCATTTATTCATATTCATTGATTTACTCACTCAGTACTTGATAAATACTCTGCTGTGGATACAGAGAGGTGATCCAAATGAAGCCTCTGCTCGCAAGTGTTTAGAAACCTAAGAGTCACTGACGTGCCAACAGACCATTAGCCATCACAGAAGATGGACAGAAATATGTACTATCAAAAGCGAAGTCTGGCCAGGTGTGGTAGCTGACACCTGTAATCCCAGCACTTTGGGAGGCCAAGGCAGGAGGACTACTTGAGCCCAGGAATTTGAGACCAGTCAGAGCACAATACTGAGACCTCGTCTCTATAAAAAATTACAAAAAATCAGCCAAGCATAGTAGCACATGCCTGTAGTCACAGCTACTTAGGAGGCGGAGGAGGAAGGGTCACCTGAGCCCAGCAGGTCGAGGCTGCATGGTGAGCCACGATCGCGCCACTGCCCTCTAGCCTGAGCGACAGAGCGAGAGCTCAACCCAGGAAAAAACCCCCAAAGTTTGTGGAAAGGCTTAGAGAAATGGAACAGAAAGCAGCACAGAGATGGCAGCATTTCCTGTGATCCTGGAAGGAGAGGGGATGCAAGTGGCCGAGAAAGGGGATGCGTGGCAGCCGGAGGCAGCACGACCGGCCGGGCCTGCAGCGCGGAGGAGCCCAGGCGGTGCCGAGCAGCCCTGGCACTGGGAGAGCTAACCCGGATGAGGGTGTGGGTGCCACCTGCAGCGCTTCCGCAGAGCCACTGTGGGCGGGGATGGCACACTCTGCTGAGAAGTGGACAAGATGGTGGGGGGGGTTAGAATGGCGGCCATCTGAGGACGGACAGAAGGTGAGGCTGGCAGTCCAGTTGAGTCCAGGCCTGCGGAAAGCAGCGGCGAGCATGAAAAGCAGTAAGCAACCTAAGAGGTTTGTTTCTCAGGCAGGATCAGCTGGACCTGGGCTGACGGACACCAGGGATGGTAAGGCAGCACTGCAGCCTCCTCCCCTGACAACTGGAAGTAAGGAGTCACTGGCCATGGACTGACTAAAAGGCAAGCTAGTCACTACCACATTCCAGCCTCTGCACTGAGTTCCAGGTCACACATCCAAAAGGGTGCTCCCTCACATGGCTCTTCCCCCTGTCCCTCCCACACCTCTGTTCATGGGCCCACAGCTCAGGCAGATCTAACATCAACAGCATGTTCAGAACTGCCATGGAACTGAAAGAGCCAAGTGGCTCAGACTCCAGGACTGCGAGCGCAGCCCCAGCCAGCACACCCGTCCGTGAGCGCCTACTGCTGCCAGGGAGGCACTGTGACCCGCGGGCAGCACAACACCGATGAAGAGGGCTCAAGTCTACCGCGAGAGACAGACACAACTGGCTGTACAGTACAGTGCACACTGCTCCCAGGAAAGGAGAGGGCTTCTGGGGCTCAGGTAAAGGCCAACGCAGGACATCAGGGAAAGATGGAGGGGATTCATGAGGGAAAGGGAGGCACAGCCACTTCTAGGCGGCAGGCTGGCCACGAGAGGGGACGCGGCCTCACATCTGACGCACCCCATTCAGGCTACAAAGAAATCAAACCCCTCTCAAACTACCCTGAAGCCCACTCCTTGCGTATTCAACTGGGTCCTTGAAGGTAAAGTTAGTCACAAACTGGATTTAGGGTGTTAACACTTAGAGTCATCTAAAATCTTTTTCCTCTGAGCTAAAGGGGAAGTGAAATCCCATTCCTTGCCATTTCTGGAAGACAAGACCCACGATTCAGTAACAACTTCTCCTTGCAAAAATAAAAACATACAGACATCAGCAATACACATCCCAGTTGTTTCATTTAGCCAACTCTAAGACACCAAGAAGCTGTAGCTGCCAAAATCTGCCCAGGTCCCCTGTCGAGTCTCTCGCAGTCTGTCTGCCGTTTCTCCTTATTCCCAGGCTATGCCCTTGGTTCACATCCTGACCGTTTCCGGGACTACTGAAACCCGTGTCTCTAGCTCCCAGACAATCTGCCCCCTCCAAATAACTTTCTCTCCAGTCCAACCTCCACTCAGCTAGTAGTAATCATCCCAAATCATGAACAGTGATCATCACAAACATCTTTTAAAAATCTCTCTGGGGGAGGAGGATCCTATGCTCTAAAGAGAAAGGTCTCCTTAAGTCATAACCTTTTAGGCTCTTCTTTACCTCGACACAAGACTGTCTTGCACTTCTGTGTCTCTGGACATGCCATTTCTTCTACCAGGAATGTTCTTTCTAATCTAGAAAAGCCATTTTCATAATTCAAAACCAAGTCCAAGCTGGGTGCAGTGACTCACACCTGCAGTTCCATCACTTTGGGAGGCTGAGGTGGGAAGGGTGCTTGAGCCCTAGAGTTCAAGACCAGCCTAGGCAAAATAATAAGACTTCGTCTCTACAAAAAAAAACCCCAAAATTTAGCCAGGCAGATTGGTGTGCACCTGTAGCCCCAGTTACTCAGGAGGCTGAGGCAGAAGAATCACCTGAGCCCAAGAGGTCGAAGCTACAGTGAACTGTGATTGTGCTATTGCACTCCAGCCTGGGCAAGAGACACTGACTAAAAAACAAGCAAACACACAAAACCAGCTCCAAATGGCATCTTCTCCTAACAGAATCAGCCACTTCCTCCTTTGCACACCAATGATAATCAAACCCCACTCAACATGCTGTCCCATAATCATCTGCCTAGTGTCCGTCTCTGTTGGGAGCCAGCCTTGGAGGTCCACCTGATTGACAGGGTCCTGGTGGGCTGAAGACCCCGGGCCGCAGGGTAAGCCCGGGAAGCTGAGGCCCTTCTGTCTTCCACTTTTGCTGTTTGATACCACCGAAGAATTCTGTGCAGTCGTGGAAGAAGAAAATGGCATGTTTATGCAAAGTACTCACAGCTAACCTGAGAATGTCATGGTCCATTTTTCCATTTTCCCACTATGCCACTTGGCCTTTTCTAACATATGCAAGAGTTAAACTCTGAAGCACATCAAGAATGCTTTCTTTCACTTGGTTATAAGTTACTAGATATTGCTTAAGTAATAAATGATATAAGTATATTCACTCCTTATTTGATTTAGAATTATGTAGTTTAGTGTTTAGACATAAGGTTTTTTAGAAGCACAAGTTTATAGTAAGTTCATTATAAGTTCTAACACTTATATAGGAGTTATGTAGGAGATTTATAACACCGTTTTCACTGACTTAAGATAAAAATTATCTTTAAGGTTTGTACTTAATTCAATAGTTAAAACTCTAAGTTAACATTTATAAAGTGGGATTTCACTGAACTCATAATATACTAATCAGACACTTTTATGATAACTTAGCTAAAGACAGAAAGCAACCTTGGGGGCCTGGGAAACATTACTAAAAGCTTCTTTTGAGTTCTCTTTAGAAATAAGCACTGTAGGATAAGAGAAAAGTAACAGAGACACCTGGACAAGAAAGGCGATTACAAGCTCTGAAGGTCATAAAGCCCCAGAAGGAAAACTACTGCTACATGAAGAACTTTACACTTGGAAACTTTCTGGAGACAGTTCAAGGACTGTAATTTGGGACTTTGGACTAAAACTATCATCTTTGGCCTTATGAATAAGACTCATTGTCTGAATGTTTACAGGGTTCTTGGCTTGTTTGTTGCTAAGACCACTAGATGGTGGTAACTTGTAGAGCATATGTACGTGAAGGAATTTTCTTTGTCTTGCCCCTTTACGAATGGTATAAAAGCTCTGTGTTAACTAACATTAAATTGTCATCTGTTCAGGAAGCAGGTGTCCAAGTATAATATTTTCGTCCTTTGCCTATCCGTCTCTCCTTCAGGAAATCTCATGACCCTTGCGGGGCTGGACCCCTTCACGTCTCCCCAACTAGACTAAGAGTGCCCTGAAGCCTGGTACGGTGTAACTTTCACCTTGGTATCCCTAGCACCTGGCACAGGCAGGCAGGCAAAGGATCAAAACTCTTCCCACTGAAAGATAAAATTATCATAATTAAATGTTGGCAGTGGCAGTAGAATGAAAGATGAAGAAAACTCAGAAAGCTTCCAGTGGAATGTATGTTCCAGAGGATGTTTCCTATAAAAGAATTATACAGTATGCATAATTCTCAGGATGCATTCTATTACCAAGTTCTTATCTGTGACATAGTAATAATAGTACCTTCAAATGCAGAGAGTAGAGCAAATGTTTTACCCGGGACAAGGTCTGGAATACAACAGGTGCTCGAGATGCAGGACAGCTGCTCTGACAGCAGTGATGATGATGAACAAGGCTCAGTAAGTAGGCCTGGCCAGGATCTAGGGAGGGACTGACCAGGTCCCCATATGGGCTCCCCACCCACATGAGGAAATGCCGTCTGTAAGTGACTTTCTCTCTGCGTCTCTGCTCCCTTTCTTTAGAAATAGGGTCAAATGGACCCACCCCTGAATTGATGGAGAGTTAAACTAAGATGTGCATGAAACACTCCTAGCAAGCTACTTGTTCCCCAAACACTCAGTACTGGGGGTGATTATTCCCACAGCAGAAACTCAACACATTAGCTGGTAGAACTAATATAAGCATGAAAATTATGCACAGTAGAAAGAAAAAGCAATGACCACATCAGTGTGATGTGCACTCATAACTACATGCTTAGATAACTGGGAGTCACTTCAAGTGTCTTCTCTGGTGGTTTCTCTCATTCCTCAGGCCCTCTAAGTGTAGCGCTGCCCTCCAATGTCCTTTCATGATCCTCTGCTACTCGCTCTGAGCTCTCTCACACCAAGAACCTACTCTGGATCATACATTCCACTGGAAGCTTTTCAACTGTGAGAAACGATTTTCTGAATCAGGCTTCCCTCACTACAGAGTGCATCTCTCTACCGCCAACTCCCTCTCTCACTGCTGTCACAACTACAGCCAGCTACCCTTCCCAAATTCCCTCCAGGCCAGAGGCACCAGGTTTTCTAAGTCAACCAGATGGCAAACCTGAGGCAATGTCTGGCCTTCCTCTCCCTCGTATCTGGTAAGTCACTAAGCTCAGACCATGACTCCTTTGTAACAGCTTGCTTTTCTTGTCCACTTGCATGACTCTAGTTTAAAACAGCACTCTTAGCCGGGCTCAGTGGCTCAGCCTGTAATCCCATGCTTTGGGAAGCTGAGGTGAGTGAATTGCCTGAGTCCCGCGGGTTCGAGACCCACCTGGGCCACTTGGTGAGACCTCATCTCTACAATAAATCAAAAAATTAGCTGGGTGTGGTAGCATGCACCTGTAGTTCCAGCTACTTGGAAGACTGAGGTGGAAAGATTGCCAGAGCCCAGCAAGTCGAGGCTGCGGTGGCCAGGAGTGGCCACTGCACTCCAGTCTGGGCGACAGAGTGAGACTTCAACTTAAAAAAAAACAAAAACAAAAAACAGCACTCTTTATAGCATCCCTAGATTATTCCAACATCAAAAATGCTTTCCCCCTAAGTGGAAGAAGACACTCACAAAAGGTTGCATACCGTATAATCCTTTTATAGGAAATATCCAGAAAAGGCAAATTCATAGAGAAAGGGAGGGCAGATTAATGGATGCTAGGGGGTGAGGGTTAAGAAAATGGGGAGTGACTGCTTAATGGGTATGGGGTTTTTCTGGAATGATGAAAATGTTTCAAATTAGAAAGATGTTGCTAACTTGATAAGTCTACTTGGTAAAAAATTAAATAGTAAAAAGAGAGTGAGATTGCATAATATTATGAATATACTAAATGCCACCAAATTTAACAATTTAAAATGGTTAATTGGGGCTTGGCATGGTGGCTCACACCTGTAATTCCAGCACTTTGGGAGGCCAAGGCAGAATTGCTTGAGCCCAAGAGTCTGAGACCAGTTTAGGCAACCATAGCCTCATCTCTACAAATATAAAAATAAAAATAAAAAAAATGAGCCAGGCATGGTGGCCTGCACCTGTAGTCCCAGCTACTCAGGAGGCTGAGGTGAAAGGATTGCCTGAGCCCAGGAGATCAAGGCTATGGTGAGTTGTGCTCATGTCACTACATACTAGCCTGGATGAGAGTGAGATCCTGAATCAAAAAAAAAAGTTTTTAATGTTATCCTTGATGCTTGTCTTGACTTGTTTTCATCCTTTACAACTCTATCAGATAATTTCTAAACCACAGTTAACCAAATGTCAAGGCTTCACTCATTATAAAATTTCTGGCTGGCTACAAAGGTTAACTGGACAGTCTGGAGGATAAGGCACTGAGTGAGATGGCTCCTAAGACTCTACAGGCTTAAGTCCCACTATTTCAGTGTATGAATTAAGCTGAGCCAGGCTGGCCCCCAAACTGCCCCGAGCATTCTCACCTCCAAACTTTCACCCACTGTTCCCTGCTCTCCATTTTCTGAGATTCTGTCTTCAGGACTTAACTCCATTCTCCCTCTGGCCTACGATCACCAGCTCAGCCCACATCAACTCTGTGTACCTCTCATTTTATACTACACAACAAGCTCTTCCACAATGGTATTCCCCTTCACCTACATACAAGTTAACAGTTGAGTAAATGAATGAAGTTCCACCTACACTGAAGGAACCCAGCTACATATTTTTTCAAATGTCAGTAAGTGTCTTTCAATTACTACACTCGATAAAATTTTTTACAAAGAATTAAGAGCAAATAACACAATAAAGAAATTCTATCATTTAACAGATTATCTATGTACATAGATACACTCATACACATGAACACACATAAAACGTGAGAACTTACCATTCCTGCAGCTCATGCATGTGGAGGAAACGGTTTCGATACTCTCTCGGCAGCTCAAACTGGGAAGGGATGGGAAACATGGATTCGTAGAAGTCCCTGAGAACAGCCTTCACTGTCTGGGCGTCTTTATGATTGTGGTCAATGTTGTCATTGAGGCAAACAAACTTCCTGAAATAACAGAAGGCCAGGGCCATCATAAGGACAATCCGCTCTAACGAGACAAGGAATGTGGACTCCAAACATATTTTAAGTCACTAAACTGAGAGCCCATTAAAACGACAGATAGGGATGATAACATTTTTTGAAGTAGATTTGCTAATTTTTTTTTGTAAAGCATACTCTGGAACTTTTGAGGTTAAAAAAAAAAAAATCAACTAAATCTGAGACAGCCTTCAGATCCAACCACCAATGCTGAGAAATACAGAGGACACAGAAACATGTTAAACAACTGGGACACGATCAGAATGGTACAAGGCATAAGAAATCTATGGAACACTGTAATCAGATTTCTTTACATTTATCCCAAGTTGATACATTTGCTGATATGACTATCTGGGGGAGAAATGTTCTATAAAACTTTTCTTTAGATATTCCTCACCTATAAAACAAGAGAACTAGAGTAGGGAATCTTTAACGAGCCCTCTAGCTATGGGAGAAAATTAATTTAATGATTTCCATTTAGAGGGTCCAGAGTTGAGTGTTCAATAAATGTAGTTAACTGGAATATTTTGTTAGCAGCTAAGAAAAATATCAGTAAGTACCTATAACCAAGTTCTCTGAACTGATGTTATATTATGAAGAATGGTCATATAAAGAATCGAGAGAGGCCAGGAGCAGTAGCTCAATGCCTATAATCTCAGCACTCTGGGAGGCAGAGGTGAGAGGAATGCCTGAGCCCACAGGTTCAAGACCAGCCTGGGAACTTGGTGAGACCTCATCTCTACAATTAAAAAAAAAAAAAAAATTAGCCGAGTGTGGTAGCGCATGCCTGTAGTTCCAGTTTCTTGGAAGGCTGAGGCAGAAGGATCACCTGAGCCCAGCAGGTCAAGGCTGCAGCGGCCATGGGCATGCCACTGCACTCCATTCTGGGTGACAGACAGACTCTGACTCAAAAAAAAAAAGAATCGAGAGAGAAACTGATGATTTCTACTTATCATGTCTGTAACCAAGCTGTAAGATGCCAGAATTCTGGTAAAAAGCAGATTATGGTGGTGCTTCCCTACTTGTTTCAAGTTCTCCACAAGACAAAAGTCACTAAACTGAGAGCCCATTAAAATGGTAGATAGGGATGACAACACTTTTGAAGTAGATTTGCTAATTTTTTTTTTTAAAGCATACTCTGAAGCTTTTGAGATTAAAAAAAAAAATCAACTAAATCTGAGATAGCTTTCAGATCCAACCACCAATTCTGAGAAATACAGAGGACACCGAAACAAGTTAAACAACTGAGACATGATCAGAAAGGTACAAGGCATAAGAAATTTACAGAACACTGTAATCAGATTTCTTTACATACACATGTAAAAACTATATCATAAAATAAAAAAAGAGGCTGGGCACCATGGTTCATGCCTGTAATCCCAGCACTTTGAAAGGCAGAGATAAGAGAATTACCTGAGTCCAGGGGTTTGAGACCAGCTTGGGCAACATGGTAAAGCCTTGACTCTACAATAAATAACAAAATTAGCCAAGCATGATGGTGCATGCCTATGGTTCCAGCTACTTGGAAGGCGGAGGCAGAAGGATCACCTGAGCCCAGCAGGTGAGGCTGAGGTGGCCATGAGCATGCCACTGCACTCCAGTTTGGGCAACAGAACGAGACTCCTACTCCAAAAAAAATAAAAAAATAAAGTAAAAAAAGAGAATCGGGGGAAATCCATGTACTCCAATGGATTTATTTGATAACACTTCAAACCAACAAACTTAAAAACCAAAAAACACACAATGTTTATGAAAGGTAACTGGGGAAAGGTGTACACTGACCAGGTAGTTCACATTAAGGGATCACCAATTTTTAAGGCGATAATGATGGTGTGGTTGTATTTTTTAAGAATCCTTATATTTTAGAGATATACACAGAAAAATGGACAGATAAATGATACAATGTTTGAGATTTACTTAATCAGGAAGTGGTGGTAAAAATGTAGGTGTGTTTAGATGAAAAAAGACCAAATACAGATTGATTCCTGTTGAAAACAAATGATGAGTATTTGAAACATCATCATACTATCTATTCTCTAAACTTGGGAACTGCTTTATTTTATTTTTTGAGTCAGGGTCTCACTCTGTTGCCCAGGCTGGAGTACAATAACATACACAGTTCACTGCAGCTTCAACCTTCTGGGTTCAAGCGATCCTCCCACTTCAGCCTCCTGAGTAGTTGGGATTACAGGTACATGCCACCATGTATGGCTAATTTGTTAAATTTTTCGTAGAGACAAGGTCTCACTATGTTGCCCAGGCTGGTCTCAAGCGATCTTCCCACCTCGGCCTCCCAAAGTGTTGCAACTACAGGCCTGAGCCACCCTGCCTGGCTGAAGATTGCCTTAAATTAAAGGACACTAAAGAGGTATGTCAACCACATGTAACACATAAGCCTTGATTGTATCCTGGATCAAAAACTAGCACAAACCCGATAACAGCTCTAACAGGTAACTGGAGGCAACTGGGGAAATTTGAAAATAGGCTATTTATTGGACTGCACTGTTTAATCCAAGTGAAAGTCCTCGAATAGATGTTAATGGTCTGTGGCCTGAGGATGAAGCCAACACGAGCAGGAGGCAGAGCTGAGGAGGACAGAAACAAACTAGGCCTAGATACTGCCTAGTCTTGGTTTTTTTTGTTAATGGAATCAACATGTCCTTAAAGCTGACGCCAATTTAAAAGACTAGTTTACCATGTCTAATCCTTCATAAAAGCAAAACAAAACATAGTAAACAAATGAGTCAAAAGGCCGGGCGAGGTAGCTCCTGCCTATAATCCCAGCACTTCAAGAGGCCAAGGTGAGATTGCCTGAGCCTACGGGTTCTAGACCTACCTGGGCAACTTGGTGAGACCTCATTTCTATAATAAATCCAAAAATTTAGCCAGCCCTGGTGGCACATACCTGTGGTTCCCACTACTACAGTGGAAGACTGAGGCGAAGGGATCACCTAAGACCAGCAGGTCGAGGCTGCAGTGGCCATGTGTGTGCCACTGCACTCCAGCCTGGGTGAGAGTGAAACTCCAACTCAAAACAAAAACCCACACAAAAAAACAAAAAAACCCAAAAAACCCACATATAAGCATCAGAAATGCTAAAATCTGTTTAGGTACTGAATAGTACCTAGGCAGCTGGGCCTGGCAAACTGTGGACAATGGCTTGCCATGTCTTTTTACTAGAGCCCGTCCCTTGAAGTACCATGAAGATGTCTATGAATTCTCTCACCCAACAACTTCCAAACCTGGCACAAAGACACAAGTACAGGTTACACAAAAGTTGGCAATTCTCACATGTGATCACTACAGATTGCCAATGACTGAGAGCACATCAACAGGATGGGGGAATTCTGTGCCCCCAACAAAATGAGTTCCAAAAATGTAAGGTTATTTTTTTGAAAATTAGAGCAGTTCATTTCAGGCAGAGGACACAGCATGTGCAAAGAGAGCTATAAGCTGGGTAATTATTCATTACTGTAGCTTATTGTTTGCTTGGCTTATGGAAAATATGTTATTTTCTTTTTGTTTTTTTTTTTTTGTTTTTTTTTGAGTTGGAGTCTCACTCCATCGCCCAGACTGGAGTGCAGTGGCACACTCCCAGCCACCGCAACCTCGACCTGCTGGGCTCCGGTGAGCCTCCCGCCTCAGCCTTCCAAGTAGCTGGAACTACAGGCGTGCACTACCACACCCGGCTAATTTTTTTGATTTGTTGTAGAGACGAGGTCTTGCAAAGTTGCCCAAACGGGTCTCGAATCCGCGGGCTCAGGCAAATCACTCACCTAGGCCTCCTAAAAGCGCAGGATTACAGGCTGAGCCACAGAGCCCGGCTATATTTGTTATTTTCTAAGAAATCAAGTATTTACAGGATTACTAAAGACACTAAATAAGCAATAAGCAAGCATTAAAGATATTTTTATTTTTCTAAAAATTCAAATTTCTTTTTCCTCCAAACAAGAATAGGATCTGTAGAAAAAATACCACGGCTTTAAAATATCTAGAAATTATTCATAGCTGGGTTTGGTGGCTCAGCCTGTAATCCTGCGCCTTTGGGAGGCTGAGGTGAGTGGATTGCCTGAGCCCACGGGTTCGAGACCCACCTGGGCAGCAAGACCACATCTCTACAATAAATCAAAAAATCAGCCGAGCGTGGTAGCACATGCCTGTAATTCTGGCTACTTGGAAGGCTGAGGCGGAAGGATCGTCAAAGTCCAGCAGGTCGAGGCTGCGTGGCCAGTCTGTGCGATAGAGTGAGACTCCAACTCAAAAAACAAATAAATAAATAAATAAATAAAATATCCAATTTTATATGCTGATGCCTTTTTCCCCCAAAGAAACTGATAAAACGACTATTTCCCACTAAAGTTAAAAAAAAAACCCTCAAAAATGCTACTTTTAGCCAATTTTATCCAACCAGTTGAAGGTGACATGGTGCTGGGACTGGACATTTTTAAGGCTATGTAACCCTGCAAATGTATTCATCCCGAAAGAATGGCTGGAGTGGACTGAATTTTCACAGCTATGGCAACATTTCTTTTTCCTCAGAAGCTAATCTGAACTTTACTTTAAATTGCTAAAATAAACCTAACCACCAAAACAACTCCTCTGGAAGCACCTTTTCAGAAATGCTGAGAGAGTCCAGCTGCCTGGCCTCACCTCCCCACAATCTGCCCTTAAGCCTTTCTGAAGAGCTCATTAGAACTGAACTCCTAGACATCCAGGCTAGTCCCATTGCATGGGGCGACCCAACCTCAGTTCACAACTACTGTCTCAGTCAAGCACAGCTCAAACACTACCTCTACCATCAGGCCTTTGTGTCTGCTCTAAACAGAAACAAGTCACTCCCTTTTCTGGAGTCCTTCTGCATTTAACTTCCATAATTAAAAACAATATTTAAAAATCAGTACCTGGGGTTTTTTCTTATGTCATCCAACTGGCCAACCACATGAGAAACATTGGTACGGATCATTTTAAAAGCAATTTCTTCTTCTCCCATAATTTCAAACCTAATTAGCAAAACATATTTAAAGAGTTTAAATATTTATGTAGATATGAAAAAATGAAATTTCAGTATGACTGGGGAGGCTGAGATGGGAAGATCACTTGAGGTCAGAAGTTGGAGACCAACGTGGGCAATATAGTAAGACCCTGCCTCTACAAATAATAATAATAATAATTAGTCAGGCATGGTGGTACATGACTGTAGTCTCAGTTACTTGAGAGGCTGAGGCACGAGTTCAAGGCTTCAGTGAGATATAATCATGTTACTGCACTCCAGCCTGGGTAACAGAGCCAAAAAAAGAAAAAAATTCAATAGGAACAAAATCCTTAAAACTTGAGTGGTTGGGAGTGGTGGCTCACGTCTGCAACCCCAGCATTTTGGAAGGCAGAGGCAAGAGCATTGTCCGAGCTCAGGAGTTCAAGATCAGCCTGAGCAATATGGCGAGACCTCGTCTCTATAATAAATAAAAATTAGCCAGGCATGGTGGTACATGTCTATGGTTCCAGCTATTTGGAAGGCTGAGGCAGAAGGACCACCTGAGTTCAGTCAAGGCTATGGTGGCTGTGATAATGCCATTGCACTCCAGTCTGGGTGACAAAGTGAGACCCTGACTCAAAAAAACAAATTTATTTATTTACTATTATTATTTTGAGTTGGAGTCTCACTGTTGCCCAGGCTAGAGTGCAGTATGCATGCTCATGGCCATCTCAGCCTTGATCTGCTGGGCTCAGGTGATCCTTCCATCTCAACTTTCCAAGTAGTGGGAACCATCCAGCTCATTTTTTTTTTTTTTTAATTTATTGCAGAGACGAGGTTTCGCCAAGTTGTCCAGGCTGTCTCGAACCCCTGGGCTCAGTCAATCCTCTTGCCACTGCCTCCCAAAGTGCTGGGACTACAGGTGTGAGCCACCTCACCTGGGAAAAAGAATAAACTTAAAATAAAATAGATTGTTCAACAGATAAAATATTGTAAAAGTATGAATATTATTCTTAAAATAAAAAAGAGGAAATAAATGTACCACTTACCTGTATTTATTTTTGTCCTTATATGCCTTATGGATTTTGTCAGTTACTGGCTTACAGTTGGTTACTAGACTTTTGGTGACTGGTGGCTGTGAGAAAGCACAAATTGGTCAGACATTATTACATCAGGGCAGAGACAGGGTCGGAGAGTGCAACAATCACCTCAGGTGCAAAACCCAAGGGGCACCAGAAGCTCAAATCAAGACAAATATTCTAATGCAATATTTCTAAAAATCCAAGTTACACACTACAGCCCACAGGCTAGTCATCTGTTTTTGTAAATAAAGTTTTATCTTAATCACACATTACACCACCCTATCTAGTAAAACACTCTTAATATGATGTCACAATATTTTTCAGAAAAAAGTTAATTTCTAATACACACAAAAAAACTATGCTCTGAACAGTTTAATTGCATGCATTTTATAATTGCCAGCAAAGCAGCCTTACTTATTTAATTCTCAGCTCTCAAAGGATATTGCTGACTCTAAACATCATGCCAGAAATTCAGCAAACACTACACTATTACTCTAACAAATGAAGATGTATATATTTCAAAAGAAAACTAAACCCGGTCTTCACGGTGGCTATCACAAGGCAAGATGAATTAACTTCCATGCAGATATCATCTTTCTTTAGAAACACCCACTTTAGCACATTTTACAGAAGTGCAGATGGTAACATAAAATCTTACTAGGAACCTAAAGTTCGCCAAGAGAGCCGGGCTCGGTGGCTCAGCATGTGATCCCGTGCCTTTGGGAGGCTGAGGTGAGTGGATTGCCTGAGCCCACGGGTTCGAGACCCACCTGGGCAGTGAGACCTCATCTCTACAATAAATCAAAAAGCAGCCAGGCGTGGTAGCGCATGCCTGTAATTCCAGCTACTCGGAAGGCTGAGGCGGAAGGATCGCCGGAGCCCAGCAGGTGGAGGCTGCGGTGGCCAGGAGCGGCCACTGTACTCCAGTCTGGGCGACAGAGTGAGGTTCCAACTCAAAAAACCAAAACAAACAAACAAAAAAAAAGTTTGCCAAGTGAAGGAAGACCAGAGGAGGAAAACAGACAAGTGAAAAGGACATACATGGAGATGCAAGTGAGCAAAAGAGAAACGGGGTGAGAGCTGAGATAGATTCCCGGCACCAGGGGCTCATCAGCAGCCTAGAAGCAGCCCTCCAGCATGCCCCTGTGTCATCTCAAAGAAAGCAGAGACCAGAGAGATGCAGTTAAGGAGGGAGGCTGAAGGCCAAAACACCTTTTCTCCTCCCTCCTCCTCTGTGCAAGCCACATTCTGGGGTGCCCATGAAGAAGACGGGGATAAGACAAGTTAGGGAGGCCTGCAGCTCACAGGCACCTACTCCCACGCCTCACCCAAGGAGAAAGGATGTGCCCAGATCCCCAATATCATGTAGAAATTTTAATTATCTTGACAAATACACAGATGTAAAAAAGAAAAAAATTAAACAATATCATTAACTCTGGATGATTTAGAGTTGATTGTATTAGCTTTGTCAGGGTTCAGGTTACTCCAAATTTTATACTGTTTAAAAAGTATTATAACTGAGAAAGTTCTTTACACTACATAATCTCATTTCTAATTTTTTTTTTTTCTGAGTTGGAGTCTCACTCCTTTGCCCAGGTTGGAGTGCAATGGCACGCACGCTCACGGCCACCACAGCCTCCACCTTCTGGGCTCTAGAGATTCTTCCATCTCAGCCTTCCGAGTAGCCGAAACTATAGACGCACGCTACCACACCTGGCTATTTTTTATTTTATTGTAGAGATGAGGTCTCACCAAGTTGCCCAGGCTGGTCTCAAACCCACGGGCTCAGGCAATCCACTCACCTCGGCCTCCCAAAGTGCTGGGATTACAGGCTGAGTCACTGAGCCTGGCCTCATTTCTAATTGTTATAAGCTTGGTTCTATATCTCTTGGGGCAGGAGAAACACCTCCAGTATATGATTACATATACACCTTTTTAGTCATTAAGAACACAATGGCAAACAATTACTCATATTTATGTAACAGTCCGGGTGTACAAAGCATCTCTCACAAACCTGAAGCACTTAATCCAGCTGCACTATGCTGAAGATCCAGAAGAAACCACTGATGAACATGGAGGAGCTGCTCCCCTGCACCAGCCTGACTGCCCGCCAGCTCCACAAGGCCTCCCGCAAATCACACCTCCGGGTCAGGCACGCCCACACGCACACACGCGTGCGCACACACACACACATACACACAAACATACACAGTCTCCACCTGCTGACACACACACCTACTTGCCCCGCTAGAGTGAGTTCCTGCAGAGCTGACATCAGGTCTTCCTCCTCTACTTCTCTCAACTTTGGTAATTTTGTAGTTCTAACTTTTAGAATACTTAGAGAACTGGCTTTTAAGTGGCACAAAGCCATGGACCAATCCTTGTCATGTGCTAAGCTAACCCCACGTGACTGGCAACACTTAGGCTTTGTCTGTGAGTGCCGACAGGCGGTCCCCAATGTGCACAACACAGGCTACATGGATGGTTTTCTTACTTCAGGAACCACATTTTAAGTGGCTTTATTACTCTTTCCTATAGTCACTTATAAGTGTCTTATCTATTCTCATTATTTGAAGATGGTTGGAAGATTTGCAAATAGTAAATTTTTAAAAATAACATTTCATTCTCATTATGAAAGCAAAAGCTGTTCCTTGTAGAAAATATGGGAAATGCCAGTGTTAAAAAAAAAGGATATTTAAAAACTACCTAGATTTAACCTATTATCATTTCTGTTATCTTTGGGGTATGTGGGGCGTGGGGCATGTGTGCATATGTTGTGTGTGTGTGTGACGGGAAGGGGGTATTAGGGAGTTTTCTATAGTTCAAATCACATTGTGTACTGTATATGGTATTACCCATTTTCCCCTACTTAATTTTATTTCTGTAAGCATTACGTTTTTCCATAAATCAGCAAAAATTAACAGTAAACATGTTAACAACTGTATTATACTTGCAGCCAAGTGAAGTGACTCACGCCTGTAATCCCAGCACTTTGGGAGGCCAAGGCAGGAGGACTCCTTGAGCCCAAGAGTTTGAGGCTAGCATGGGCAACATAGTGAGACCTCGTTCTCTACAAAAAATAAAAAAAAATAGCTGGATGTGGTGGCATGTGTCTGTAGTCACAGCTACTCGGGAGGCTGAGGTGGAAAGATCTCCTGAGCCCAGGAGGCCAAGGCTGCAGTGAATCATGAATGTGCCACTGCGCTCCAGCCTGAGGAACAGAGTAAGACTCCGATTTTTTTTAAAAAGTATTATATTATGCTCTGTTTCACCAATTATAAGACTTTTTTTCACATTTAAACTTCTCTGAGACTAGAATGTCACTTACAATCAACAGTTTTCAAGTTACTTCTGCCAAAAGACATTCCAAATACTCTGGGGCTATTTTCTGCCATCCTTGGTAAACAGGATGTCTGCTTCTGGAATATAAGCAACTAATCTGAATACAGGCTTGGATATCAATGGAGGATGATTCCACAGCAAGATATGAATGACTCTGGATTAGTGGTGCTACTATTTTGCACCAAAGACATACAAATACAGCCTTTCTCTAGCCTCCAAAGTGATATACAGAAATGGTATAAATAACATCTGATAAGGATGTATTTTCTATTGTACATAAAAGGAACCCATGTCACTTACCAGATTGGGATCATAGTAAGCTTCCTGAGTTGGTGGAATACTGTTTAACTGAGTGATATTGGCAGGAAGCATTTTTGAACAATTTATTAACATGTGTTCCAGACCTGTCAGATCCTAAGAAAGCAAAAATAAAAAGATAAACCTGTTATGTCCATTATAAATAATGACTGTGGTTATAAAAATAAAAATGATGATATAGAAAATCTCCAAAAATGGTTTAAATGCTATCTTCAAAGAGGTATGACTATATGATTCTTAAGATAAAGGCAGCCTAAAAAAATCAAAATGAGACAATGTAAGTATTTCATCCTCATCTCAAAGTAAAAGCCTTGAGACACCATTTTTACACAAGGAGGTCCCAGGAATCCTGAGAGGGGATGCCCTGCAGTGGCTTCATCTCAGCCCCCTCCATGAGTTCCTATTCCTGGGACTAGAGAATGCCATGATGCAAGGCCTGGCTGAGGTCTCCAGGCAGCCACAGCTAAGCCCAAGACTGAACATGCCACAAGAAACTTACATGCAGTAAGGCCTGGTTCTTCTCCAGATTACACAAGATCTGCCCCTACTAAAAAGCTGCAAAAGCCATCCCATAAAACTTCAAATCTGGTTGTAATTCTGGCACTAAAAATAGTTACGAATACCCACATTAAATATTAAGAATTATTTTTACTTCCACTAATTGGGGGAAAAAGAGACACCATCAGAATTAAAATTTTCATTTTAAATGTCACAAAATTTAGAATAAAACAACACAACACCTGCAAACTTAAAGGTAGTTCGTGAATTCTGGTAGCCAGCGTTCGGATTTCTCTGTCAGACAAGACACCAGATTGGTCTGTATCAACTTCATCAAAGACTTGAGATATATTCAGTGGCTGAACTGCACTCATGAGATAATAAAAATAAGAAAAGGCAAACTGCATATCCTCAGAATGGCGCACTTTGTGAAATGACGTCTTGTCAAATTCGTCAGGGAACCTGCCCAGATATAACACATAATGAGTACTAGGTATTCAGAATATGTAGGGCTTCTAATATTTGTGGAGACAGGCTAGGCTTACACTTGTAATCCCAGCACTCTGGAAAGCTGAAGCAGGAGAATTGCTTGAGCCCAGGAGTTTAAGACCAGCCTAGGCAACTTAGTAAAACCTCATCTCTACAAAAAATTTAAAAATTAGCTGGATTGCCGGGCTCGGTGGTTCAGCCTGTAATCCCGTGCCTTTGGGAGGCTGAGGTGAGTGGATTGCCTGAGTCTGTAGGTTCGAGACCTGCCCGGGCAGGCGAGACATCATCTCTACAATAAAATCAAAAAATTAGCCGGGCGAGGTAGCGCGCGCCTGTAATTCCAGCTACTTGGAAGGCTGAGGCAGAAGGATCGCCGGAGCCCAGCAGGTAGAGGCTGCGGTGGCTGGGAGCGGCCACTGCACTCCAGTCTGGGCAACAGAGTGAGACTCCAACTCGAAAAAAAAAAAAAATTAGCTGGATTTGGTGGTTCGTGCCTATAGTCTCAGCTACTCAGGAGGCTGAGCGGGGAGGATCACCTGAGTGCAGGAGGTGAAGACTGTGGTGAGTCATGACCGTGCCACTGCACTCCAGTCTAGGCAACAGAGTGAGACACCAACTCAAAAAAAAAAAATTGTGACGATAGATTTTTTTTTCCTCCCGCTTATTTAGATAATACCTTTAATATATTAATCATCAAATGTTGGAGGCATAAACTTAGCCCAGTAAACACAGAAATTTCAAGTAATCTTAGCTCTGAGCAGATGCCAACAACTCAAACACAAGCCAGACTTACATATCTTGCAGTTCTTGCATAACAATTCGGTCAATCATGTGAGGCATATGGGCAGGGACCTTCCGAGATGTGAATCCAAACTTGCTATTTAGAATTTTGTTTACGTATCGGAGGGAGTCGGCAAATGTATCTTTTAGCTGCCTCCCAGCATTTCTGCTGTCAGTAAAGTATGCCAACTGTATCTTCAATGACTCTTCTTCCTGAAAAGAGAATCCCACATGGCACAGCAATATGTTTAGTGTACAAGTGCACTTTGTTAACAAGAGAGAAATGTACCATTTTATGTATGTGGTAAAAACTAGTCACTAACTCTCTATGAGGGGCAAATGAAATGCACACTAACAAGTGACCAGAAGGACCTTACGGGCAGGACTGACTGAACTGGATTGTGGTGTGTCACTAACATTGGCTTGAGAACAGTTGTATGGCGGAGGTCTACTCACAAGGTATTCTTCAAGGACTCACTCACTGATCATGAGATTTCAGAGTCCATTCAATGCAACATCTAGAAAATTTATTTACATATAAATTTGGTAGTACTTTCATTATCAAGCTATTTCTGCAAGTGATATCAAAGCAGCAAGTTCTTGAGTTTTGAACACAAGGACTAGAAAAAAATTTGGTTTCTACCATATAATAGTACTAGTATCATACAATCAAAATCAGTAAGAGGCAGAACTAAATGGGCAAAGAAATTGGCAAAAAATTCAGACGCACTTTACAAAAGAACTATTTTTGCTTCTCAAACTGATAAAAATGCAGAGATTGATATGAACTGGTGTTGGCTCAGCTATAACTAATCAAGCACTCCTGTATACTACCTGTGGAAATATAATGTGCTACAACATTTTAGAAGGAAGAATTTAAGATTTATACACACCAGATCCATTAACCTAGTAATTCCATCTACAGAAAGCAACACTTACACAAGTGCAAGATACAAGAATACTTACTGCAACATTATCTATAATTGCAAAACATTGGAAATAACTCATAGCTATTAAAAAGAACACTGGGCTGGGTTCACGCCTGTAATCCCAACACTTTGGGAGGCAGAGGCGAGAAGACTGCCTGAGCCCAGAATTTCAAGATCAGCCTGGGAAGCTTGGTGAGATCTCATCTCCACAGTAAATCAAAAAATTAGCTGGGTATGGTGGTACACACCTGTAGTTCCAGCTACCTGGATGGCTGAGGTAGAAGGATCACCTGAGTCCAGCAGATGGAGGCTGTGGTGGCTGTGAGCGTGACACTGCACTCCAGCCTGGGCAACAGAGACTCCAACTCAAAAAATAATAATAATAATATTGGGCCAGGCGTGGTGGCCCACACCTATAATCTCAGCACTCTGGGAGGCCAAGGCAGGAGGTCTGCTTGAGCCCGGGAGTTTGAGACCAGCCTGGGCAACGTAGTGAGAACTAGTCATTATAAAAAAAATAAAATAAAAAGAACACTGGCACTAACATGGGTAGTTTGCCCACATACTACTAAGTGAAAGGCAACTACAGAGAAATGTACATAGCATGTAATTTCCTGTTGCAAACGAGAAACTACATAGCTAGTATGCCTACATTCCTATGAAAAAAATATCGGAAGGATGCCCATCAAACTATTAGGAGTGATTATCTCAAGGAGGGAGACTAAGGAAGGAAGATCTTTCCCTTTATACTGTGTATTTTTTAATTTCTTGGAAGCTTTACCATTAGCCTATGGTGCTTTTGTAAACTTTTTTTAAGTAAAGAAGAAAAAGTGAGGAAAGAGAGGCAAGGACTCTGCAGTCCTTTATTCAATGATTTGTAAATGCCTAATATGCCAGGAACAAGACATGCCCTGAAACATGGAGAGGAACAAGACACAGTCCCCTCTACCCTCTGTTCTCCCATTCAGTGTCCACTTGTGGCCCTGTGTCTTCACTATCCAGCCTAGACCACAGGATTCCTCTTAGCCTGTCAATTCCCACCCTGTCAAAGGTCAGCTCACAGGGCACTTCCTCATGGTGGTGTCCCTAATGCCTCCAGGCAGAGCTTAGGAGTTCTCCTCTCCCACACCTCAAAGAGATACTTTTCTCCTTGCTTCCTCAGTCATCTGCCCACAAACATGTCTCCCCACTGGTTTCTGCATGTCCGTGAGCAGCGGCTGTGTTCCAGTCACCCTGCGACCCCGTGGGTAGCACCATGCCAGCACTCAGAAGAGGTACAAGTGACACCAGGTCATGGGGGAGGCCGTGTACAAGGAAAATCACTCCAGCTCTGGTGCTTGGCTCATGCTGACTTGTTGTAATGTGGGATGCACGTGAGCTTCACTGAACCTCAGGCTTTATCATGAATGAAGCTAGAAGAAGGTCAGATCTGACATACAAGCAGACACAAGATGCCACCCTGCTCACCCTCCTCAGCCCAGGCCCCGAGCTAAACCCCTGCTCACTAACACTAGTGCTATTTCCTAAAAGAGTGAACACCCCCAAACGGCATCTTATTGTTAGGGTTGTTGGGTAAATTAAGTGAAACTGTGTAAGGAAAGCACCTAGTTCAGTGGCTGGCACAGGGAAGCACTGAAGAAATGGCAGCTATTATCACCTTGTCACTGAAAAGGCTACTCATTTTTCCTGAGCATGAGAAAAAATAAGGCTGGATGCAACTTACATCAAGAAGATCTTGGAAATACTTCTTTTTCTCCCATGGCAGAAAGCCCGGGGACCCTTCCATGTAATGCTGCAGCTTCCTTCCAGGTAGCACCTCACTAACATCTGGGGGATTGTTACCGTTTTCCTCCAGTCTTTCTTTTTCTTCATCTTTCCTGATGATTTTCTTTTCTTTCATGACCTGGTTTTCCAGAACAATCAGAGATGGGAGCTTTTCTTTCAACACACTCCCACCCATGGCTTTTTGGGTGTGAGCCTCCAGTCTGAATCTTGCTTTGGTCTCCAAGTCCAGGGGTGGATTCTGACCCTGATGCTGACCATTCGCGCCTACTGTCACTGCTGGCAGAGTTGACCTCTGTGATCTTTCCAACCCTTCTAAGCTGTTTGGCAAGATGCTTTTGTAAATCTGTTTCTCCGGGGGAGCTGCCAAACTGTCATTTATTTTATCTGTTGTTATAGCTTGATTCATTTTTACTTTAGCATCCTGTAAGTTCACTAGAAACGACCTCAGCAAGGCTGACTTGGACAAATTGTACCCTTTCAAAGTGATGTCTCCCTGCTCCAGCTGCACATCCAGGTTGCGGAGACTCAACTGGGCCTCCTTTGGAAGGAGTGAAGTATTCACCAGGGGAATTTTCACTTCCTCCTGGAACCTCTGTGTTGTGTTAACATCACGCTTCTTGAACTTTGGGAAGCGTTTTTCTGCAGGAATATCCTCAAAAAGGATTTCTGCCTCTGGAAGAAGTGTTATGGGGCTAGCCACATTCTCATGAGCTGTCTGGACCGTCAAGTTCAGTTTTGGAGCCTCCCTCGTATCCACAGCTACTGTTATCTGGATTTTGAACTCTTCCTCATTTGCGTTCTGCAATGTGAGATTAAAATGTATAGTGGTTGCATTCATCCCACTGTGCATTATGAGGTGGATGGTTTTCCATTTATTGGCAATAGAAGCATGTCGAATTATTGGATTGTCACTATAGGCACCTTCAACTCCCCTTTTGGCTAGCTCCGCAAAGCTGAAATAAGGCAGGCATTCCCCTTTTGGAATAACATAGTGAGTCTGGTTTGGGAGGAGAGTTACTTTATACAACTCATGAAAATGATCTGGAGGAAAAAATACAAATAGGATTTTTTTCAGACTACACATTTGTTTCCTCCCTTTCCTTTAATTCTTTGGGTCCGAGTTTTCATTTTCTAAGAGTGATTTTAATTTCAAAATAATCAGAAATTCTAATACAATAGCTACTGGTATAGGGCTCATTTCACTACAGGAAGTCATAATAATTAACATGAAATGTGAACCCTGACTCACTACAGAGACATGGCATAATTCTTAACAATAAATTCCAATTACCAACTTCTCTCTCCTTTTTGTCCATTTGGAAAAGAAAATATTTTGCCGAAATGACCTCCAGAAAGAAACTATCAACAAGATCCAATATTCAAACTGTCCTTATTAGTGAACTACTGATCTCCTTTTATTATTTACAAACTGAACTTTCACCACATACTTTCAGCTAAGGTAAATCTGCTTAATCAAAACAATAAATCACACTAGAGCAATAACAAGAAAAGATCAATCTTTAGTATCTATTGCTCCTATGATCTGTGTCCTTCTCTTACTTTCCACTTACAGCTAGTCTGGAAGCAAAGCTGGAAAAGAAGACACAGAGAATAACTACCTTCAACAACAGCCACCATCCAGAACGCTCTCCTCCTATCAAGGATTCGGACCCTCTATTCTTACTATGCTTGTTTGGGCAATAAATACCTTGCCCACAGTCACCAGCATCAAAGCCACAGGACAGGACATTGCAGGCTTGGTCACAGAACTTGTCAGCGAGCCAGGAGTTAGCACATCCTTGATTACAGTAAGAGACACTATTTATTCCTCCACCAAACTGCCAGGGCTGCCCGACTCCGATGCTCCCAGTACCCGCGCCTCCTGCGATGTAGCGACTCCCTCCGTTGTTACCTGTGGAGAAAAGGCAGAATCGCGCTGTACTTACGGTTTTGAAAAAGACAGTTCCCTATTTCATAAGGATGTTTTCAAGGTTGATGCATGAGTTTTAGTCAGAAAGGGCTCACCCCATTCACTGGTAGATTTCACATGTCTTAAGAAAATAAACTGAAAAGGAGCCTCACATGGCCAGGCCTGGGCTCTGTGGCTGTGGAACCCACAAGCTAGGGAGTCTCACATAGCCAGGCATTGGCTCTGCAGATGTGGAATCCACACACACACAGGCCTCACATTTGCTCAGGGGTTGTGTGCAGATCACAGGAGAAGGAAATAGGAAGGGATTATTCCAAAGACTGTGACTGTCAGAACTGTCAAAAACACGTCCAAAGATAGGCATCATGTGTGCCACCTCATCACCAAAAGTTCACGTCCTACTGGGGTTGAGCTCTTGGGAGGCCCAGATCTACTCCACATGCCTGTGTTCTCTCCCACAGCTGCTTGCATTTTTCAAAAATGCACCTGATGGACCTGACTGGAACACAACGGAAGCTTTGTTTCCTCCAATAAGGAACACATTTCCAAATCCGTGTCCTCACATGGAACATGGGGATGACAGCAACTGTGTACACACTCTCTCTCTCAGGTCATCAGGAAATTCAGGTGAATATAATCAACGATACTCTACAAATTTGATGCCTTAGAAGTTGAAAGGTGGCCACTGCTTTACTAGACTCTGGTGTGGCCATGTGTTCCTTGAGCTATGGCTGCCTGCCATGTTTCCTAAGCTTTGGCTCCCTTTCCTACCTTGGAGAGGTGCATCGCCTCTCTCTTTCCTCCTAGCCATTGCTTTGTTAAACTCTGGTATGTCCATGTGGCTCTTTGAGCTACGGTCACCATGTTCACTAGCTTTGGATCTCTCTTCTCCCTTGGGGAGGTGAATCAATCAATTTCTTTCTAATTTACTTTCTAAATCAACTATATTTTCCAATCATAAAAAAAAGTTAAAAGGCAATAAGTATAAAAAATTGCTATTAGCCGGGCTCAGTGGCTCAGCCTTGGGAGGCTGAGGTGAGTGGACTGCCTGAGCCCGCGGG